AAAAACTCACACCCACGTTTAACGCATTCGTTGCAATATGAAGCAGAGATACTGCGAGTGCTGTTTAGTTCGATGACGTCAGACGTTCGAAGAAGTTTAAAGAATGTAAATCTTAAAACCGATGAAAGTGGTTTGATGAAAATGTAAGACTTTTGACACGTTGGTGACGAAGAAGCATAAAGTAGATAATATACATAAAGTAGTTGATGAAGAAGCAGAAACGACGAGTACACAACAAAATGAGTACTCGAACATGAACAAAATAATAGAACCGGTAATGATAAATTAGTACATTTGCAATGTGCTATGAATTTTAATGATTTCGACGAATTCATACATAAAGTTTATTGACTTGATACATACATGCCAAACAATTACTTTACTGTATTTGCATAGCTAAATAAACCCAAAACATGTATACCGAAAAATAAAGATTGATGTTGGCACATTTCGATAAATAGAGCAATTATCTATTGCTGATTATAATGCGATGTCTATGAAACGTGGATATGTGCTTTCCATATGATTTCAACTTCCTCAGAGTGGGTAAGCTAATTAGAGGGGAAGGTCTCGGAACTTATCATAAATATTGTGTGTAGAATTGATATGTAGAATGGTATTGAAATAGAGATCCTGCAATTATGGGTAAGATAGACGTGGAATTATGTAATATTGAAATTCTGCTTACTGTTTCTCATAACCCAACATCTATTGGTTTTAATTTAAGTTTTGACTCACTGTCCCGTATTAACCTTGCTGTTTACCACATTGTTGTTGAGGGTGACTTTAATATAAATGTTTCAAACAGTCCTGAATCATTAATTAATATTTTTTGTCGAAGAATCTTCTGATAGCTCAGTGTGAAGACCTAACAACTACTACGAAAAAAATACTACGAAATATGTGCAGTAAAGTATTCTTCTTCTACTTGTTTTAGATGTGTTGGTCTGAGGAATTCTGACTTTGCAGCAATAAGATAATTGAAATGATTGACAAACGCAAAGCATCTTGTTTGCTCTGTCATGATTGCTGTATCGGTTGGGTAACATATCAAATTTTGGCTGATTTTATGGTCTTAAGTCACCGACAACACCTTCTCCGGCGAAATACAATTATTTGCTTATATTAGAGCTCACATTCTTTGCCGATAAATTTTTATAAAACACAATGCATCTTGTTTAGTTAAAAGTGTGGAGTAAGTGATAAACAGCCATCCATAGTATCATGTAGGAATGCAGCAGAAGTATTCTTTCAGGTGAATTGCCGCGACATTTTTGTGACCCACTAGTTCTGATCCAGTTTAATTATTGCAATATTATATTTAGTCTATGTTTATAGTTTCAAATTGCTTGCAGGACGTGGATTGTTCAAAACTATTGCTTACACTTCATTTTTGGCTTTACCGTAAAAATTAAATCTCAAAGCTTTTGACATATCTAATCAGTGTTATATCACGGAAAGCCTCCTTATTTAATATTACCATTCCCAACCTCAAACCATCAAAATTTTAACAGTCATTGTCGTATGAAATGGGTAGTGTATAGAACATAGTCTCTGATTCTTCGAGGTGTAATTGGTCTATTGCAATGTTAATGTTTGTGGAAGGCAGGTTCCATGTTCGTGATTTTCCTACTTCGTTTACACTCTTTAATAGTGGGAGGTAAGTTGCGGATTAAAACATGGAACCAGAATTACAATGTCAATTGCATAAACGTATCAGTTTTGAATATGTTATTAGACATAAACATTATACAAGAGTTGGGTGAAGTCCCACAATCGTCCAAAAAAACAGTTGAACCTGGATTTGTTGACGTTTCCTGTATATTTATTTTCTTGTTCTTTCTATTGTTCATGTTAAAAATTGTTGGCTAGTTTTTAATCCAATTATTTTTTTAATAATAGTGATGTTAGTAACAAGTTCCGGTGTAATCGAAAGTGGTACAAAAATGACACTACCACTAAAAGGCAGATTTCTTCACCTTATATCAAGGTGCCAAATATCAAATTCATTGCATCTAGTCTTCCTATAAAATTCGAACTCTCGCAGCCGTGAGTAATCTAAATATATGAATATATTTGAAATCAGCAACCCAAAATTAACTAAAAACATTCAACTCATCAACTGTACAAAAATCTTGCAGCACAGTGTTATTACTGATGCCATATGGTGAACAGATTTTAATTGCAACTCATCCAGCTTATTTGTAGCAATCCCTACTTGAAATATAATCTAAAACCATTTTAAGAATTTGTCCGAATTTGAGATTTGTTACAAGAACTGAACAGCGATGACATTTTGGTTTCAACTGGCGAGAGTAGGTCTTTGGTATCGGGACATAGACCTTAGGCTTTTGATGAGGACTTTATATGATCGAAATATATTGGCAAACAATGCAATCAGGGTACACTCCAAAACTACGTGTATTACAAGAAAATTAGTTTTTTGTAGTTTGTTATAGTTTCTCTTTAAATATCATGCATTTTGGCAAAATGTGGTATGTATAATGTATGTACCTATAACGTATAAATGGCATTAAACAGCAATAAACTATATGATTTAAACTAACAACAGTATGATATAGGCTACTCTAGAGAATCATGGAAGAGAGAATACTAGAAACATTTTGATGTCACAGATAGCGATCAGATATAGAACTTTCAAAAATGTTGTAATTCTGGTTTCGAATTCAACAACGAATTCAATAATACTCTTTTCCTGTGAAGATTTTTAGAAAAAAAAAGTTGATATTTTTCTTTTCATTTATTATTTATAGATTTTTAATGCCACATATTTTCCTTATTCCGAACATTCCAATCATTGTACTACAATCGCATTAATTAAGTTACTTGCAAAAACTTTCAATTACTCTGATTGATATTTTATAATTTTTAAACTTCGCAATATTAACATTTTACCATAAAAATCTAGATTTCAAAATAATTTTAACGTTTTATCTATTACACCAAGTCGAGTTCGTTTCAAACAATTTGTTTTCACACTGGCCTGAAAACGTTCTAAACACGACTGTAAACAATGTGCAATATGCGCGAGCGTATTTCGTCCTTGGTTCTCAATATTTACATGATAACCATCTTGAAATCCTGGGAACAAAACGTTTTGAGCGCGGGACAAGTCGTAATTTTTCAAAATACCACCATTTAAATACAGAAATGACCGTATCGTTCTCTTTACGTTTTGCACATTCCATAACCGGACCATCGCAATGATAAACTGCTTCTATTTTTATCATTGCCGCTCGTTAATTTGTCGGAATATGCTCGGGAAACATTTTATTTTTAATTCTCCGGTGACAAATAGAAATGGAGGAATTTCGAAATGAGAACCTCCACGTTTTAAGTGATAACACAATCGTAAATGAGGAAACAAAGTTAAATCTTTGAACACTCACAGTGAATCACCGATTTTTACCATATACTTTTTTTTTAAACAAAAACGGGTTTAATATATTATTATTACCGATAGAAAGCCGTTAGGCCGTTATTATTGCAACAATGCAACGGTAACCGTTTGTTCTAATTACATTCGCATATGATTTTAATTAACCGATAATTGCCTTCACGTAATGTTACCATCCACGGTTCTTTATATTGCAAGAAAATTTCTTATGTAATTTGTTGATATAACAAAATGAATCTTTTGTTTAAACCATTTCAAGTTTTCTGGTAAAATTGTTTTGTGTTAAAAAAAAATCATAGAAGCCAAATGACGTAATCTAGAAATTCCATGTAATCTAGATTTTATTAGCATTATAATTTTTAATGACTCAATCTTAAAATGAGCCCAACTTCAATTTTATTGTTATAAGATTATCCTTATCTAAAAAAAAGAAAGTATGTTTTGTGTGATAATTCAGTTAATCTGAAATGATACTAAACATTTTGTACATTTCCGTATTAGACCTATTAGATCTGATTTGTCTTATATAGATATAGCTGGATATAGTGAGATTTTGCCTTAGTTACTTAATGAATGATTTGTGGTAAGCCTTATGTTTTGCTGAAGGAACATTATAGCAGCAGAAGTATTCTTTCTTGTGAATTGGAGCGACATTTTTTCATCTTTGGCCTTGCCCTATAAATCATATTTCAAGCTTTTGATTTCTAATCAGTGTTATATCATGGAAGGTAGTGTATAGAACATAGTCCCTGATTCTTTGAGGTGTTCTTGGTCTATTGTTACAAGAAGCAGTATTGTAAGGCAATTCAATATGTAATTATATGCAATTTATCATCCATGTGGTGAAAACATGGAACCAGAATTACAAAGTCAATTCCAAAGACGCAGCAGTTTAGAATATTTTGTGATAAATTTTGCGTTAGTTTCTTGATCATCCCACGCAATCTAAACTTTAAAATCAACATAAAGTTTATTTAAAATTTATTGGTAATAACTCTCCAAGGTTACCGTTACTATACGTTTCATGATTCACCTTATACCAAAGACTTAAAGAGGAATAAATAGTATTGTAATGACGCAAGATATCGAGATATTATGAAGACAACGTATGGAATGTACCAGATCTTAAGGAAAGGACGATAAAAAGGTAAAATTCTTCTGAAAAAACAGGTGGTCGGGGTTAATAAGGGTAATAACAAGGATGAAGAAGACAGGTGGGGTCCCTTTTAGATCTTGGGACCGAAATTCTCTTCTTTTCCCATTCAGATTATACCTATTTCCGAGCTGGGGGGAAAAGCTTTTTCATTGAAAAGAAAGGATCAAAGATCATTTAGATGTCTGGCGCCGTATCACAAGAGAAGACGACTTCCAACAACACAAACAAATAACGAAATCAATTGTGTTATGGACTAAAACAAGATTGTACATAAAAATTTATATTCTAAGAAAAATTAATTAAATTCATTCTCTTTAAAGATTGCAGACACACATCCGGAGAGACCGGAGATGGAATTGACGCGGGTTATAGTTAAATTGTTTAACGTGTTATAAGATACAAAAGAGATTGAAAATTTTTACTTACAGTATTCCGGAACATTTTGTACAGACGAAAGAACCTATCGTAACGTTCACATATGTAGGTCCGCGTTGGTTACAATCGAAACAGTACTTGTTATGAGGTAGCGACACTAAATCGCGTAAAGTTTTCAAGTTCTTTTCATCCTGCTTTTTGCGTGTTGACGCCATGTTCGGTCACTTTACACTGACAACTTTTGACTGTTGAACCGAAATAGTCTATAAGTTTTATTATCGATAATGTAGGAAATTATTTATTATTGACAACTAAATTTTTAAAAAATCTTGTAGATGGCGCAAAATATAAGTTAATTAAAATTATTAAATAAAAAAAAATTCTATTTATTCGCATTTTGTTTCTAAAAATTATTTAACAGTCAATTCATATTATTAATTTTTAGTAATAATTTTTTTTTGAATTTGTATAAAAATTTGATTACTGAGATTCTAAGCTAACTTTATAGATGGCGCTAAATTTGATTTAATCTTAAAAGAATAATTTTAATTATAAACTCAAAGAAAATTGAAAAGATTTCTCATTAAGTATTAATATTAATTAGTATTAGCAAATTTGAAGTACAAATTATTTATTTTAATAAATTTGTATAAAACTTTCAATTTTATGAATAAAATCATAGATGTCAGGACTAATTTTGAAATTTGAATGAACAAATTAAAAAAAAACGTTGAATTATTTTCTCAATCAGTAAATATATTGAATTAAATTAACAAAACTAATTCTTCTATTCTATTGGCATCCTACCTGAACCTATGCCGCGTTATCCATGTATAACGTTTTCACAGCATGGATGTAAGTTCTGTTGATGCCTGTATCTGATCTATATATGCAATATATATTTCCCTACCTTTTGGCAGCTTCTTCTCAACTAGATGTCTAACCGTAAATAAATTATCTACGCAAGATCTTCCAGGTTTAAAACCACTTTGTTCCTTTTCCTCCTTAATTTCTCTTTCTTTTCTAGTTTTCAGGACTCTTCCATCCGGGCATTTTTTAAATCCGGCCGGATATCGGATAGCTACCAAAGCCCAAAGCCAAAGCCGGATATTAAAAACTTATTACTTAGTACTCCACTATTCACAGGAATTAGTATCTCTTTTAGGTTTTGGACACTGCAGATAATAATCAAGTTCAACCCCAATAGGACTTTTTTTATTGAATACAACTTTATTTATATAAGGTTTGTCATTAGCAACCTCATTGTAACAATCCCAACAAGTTATATAAAATCTCTTGTTGCAGTTTCGTCGAGTTTTTTTCTCTTCGCTTGTAATTCATCATCACATTCATTACTAACAGAACTGTCGATTATTAATTAAAGTATCCTCTTTTTAATGCAACAAGCCGTTTTGAAAAATCACTTTCAGTTCTTGAGAAATAAATTTTTCAAATGATCGACAATTTTCTCGAATTTTACAATTTTCGCCAATTAAGTTTTAAAAATTCGTATAAAATCGATTTCTTGGAATATGAGTATGAAAATTTCCCAAAATGTTAATAAAAGTGTCCTCTTTCCAATGAACCAACACGTTTTGAAAAATAACTTTTAGTTTTTGAGAAAACAATATTTGAAGTTTTGATAAAATTTTCGATGTTACAATTTTCATCGATAACGTTCAAAATTCGCTATAAAATTAATTTCTTGAAGGATCCTTGTGGAAATATCACCAATTATGAATTTA